CTCCAAGCCACTCATCCCACTTCCCTTTCTGGGAAGGATTTCAGCCACAGCTATTTTGGGCAGCAGGAACAGGAAACCCCAGAAAACCCCGAGCCACCACGTGGGGTCTGTCAGCACATCACAGGCCAGGGGACACTGAAAAGTGACTTGGTGCTGCAGGCAGCTGGGGAGCCTCGTGGGCACCCAGAGCCCAGGCAGGCTGAGGTTTAATATAACATCAGCCATTCCAGCCAAAAATCTGGGTTTAAGGAGAATTCCAACAAAATTACATTGAGCAGCTGGAATATTGATAAGGAACAAATTAAGAGAATACATCTCAGCAGAGGTGTGAGCACATTCTGCCTCCTTACCAGTGAGATCTGGGATATTTAATTCATGGATTTCACCTCTGTGTAGAGATCAGTTCCCATCTATTGGCTGCCCCCAGGACACCACACCCTGGTCCCACACATTGTCAGGAGAAATCCACACTTTCCCTGAAGTCTTTTACCTGCTGGACACAGCATTTTGTTTCTCTTTGTGGAATAAACATAAGCAGGTGGCTATTTCTAAGGATGTCTTTGTTACATAAAAATATTCGATAAAAGTGTCCCCAGGACATTTTTCTGTGATCAGTGACCTGTCCTTGTTGTTTGATGGCTGAGCTGGAGCAGAGCCTGGGCAGCAAAGGGAACTGTGTCCGTGGCCTTTCCCAGCGTGCAAACACCAGCACCAATATCCACACACAGCATTTCACACTCTGATTTTTATAAATTTAATGTGTGCAATATGAATGTTTTTGCCTTCTATTCCAGGAAAGGGATTTTTAATAATTCAACTACCAGGAAAGAGGGATAAAATTCAGTAATTTAAAACTTCAAGGCAAGATCTTCAAGAAATTTGTTTGCAGTTCCATTCCCTATTCCATTGCATTCAAAAATCTCACTGATTTGAACAAAGAGTCAACACAGCTTAAAATTAACAAAAAAAAAAAGTCATAGCAGGTCTGGGTCTTCTCTCACTCATCTTTGTTAACTTTTGTCACCTCTCAGATTAGTAATTAATTATTGAAATATTAACTTTGTATGGTTGAGCAATTGAGAAAGGGGATAAATGGTCCATGGGCCTTGGAAATTTGGCAATGGAAAGCAGAAGTGTGTAATCACTACAGATGGGGAATGAGAACAAAAAACTGCAACACAGCAGATTATGAAATTGTATTATTGCACAAAATTAGAAACTTTTTTGAGGAGGATCAAGCAAATAGCAAAATAATAGCAAATCTAATAGCAAATCAGAGCCCAGGAAAAGCAAAGTCTCTGTGTCCCAACACAGGAGTGAGAGGCAGGAAAACCCTTCCTGCACCAGCATGGGGAGAAAGAGAGAAAAGATAAAAAAATCATGGGATGATAGACTGGTTTGGGTTGGAAGTGACCTCAAAAATCATCCAGTGCCACCCCCCTTTCACTATCCCAGGTTGCCCCTCTGGCACAGGAAGCCACTTCCCCTTGTCCTGTCACTCTGGGCCTTTGTCCCTGTCCCTCTCCAGCTCTCCTGGAGTCCCTTCAGGCACTGGAAGGGGCTCGCAGCTCTCTCCAGAGCCTTTTCTTCTCCAGAGCCCCCCACCTCTCCCAGCCTGGTTCCGTAGTAGAGCTGATATTCCCAGAGAGTTCCACAGAGCCCAGATTTCAGCTTTATCCAGAGCTCCATTTAGGAAAGATGCTGTTCCCACTTACCCTCAAGGAGGAGCATCAGGGGTGGGACACAGAAAACTGCTGTGAGTCTCAGCTCTTCTTCTGGGGCCGGTTTTAATCCACATCCCTCAGGGTCCTGCACTTCCCTTTCCAGGGGAAACTCCTTGCTCACCTTTCTTTCAGAAACATCACCAAATAAAACCCCCAGAAAAGTGGTGAGATGCCACACTGTTCCCAAGGCATTTCAGTTTAAAAGGTTGTAAAAACAGCAACAAATTTTCTCCTCCAAAGAGAGCCCCAAACGAGCATCCTGAGGAAAACAAAGCCTTGATGGGCAAAGACCACACAGGATTCCCAACACATCTTGTGCAAGTTTCAATAATTCAGCTCTACACATAAATCTCCCCCCACGTTGTCCCAGTGCATCAAATACTCCTCCAGATTTTTTGCCTCCCCAAGAGCGCAGCCCACAAGTGAAGGAGAATATCCAGAACAATTGTTCCTACATGGAACAGAATGGAAAAAGGAAAGGTCTGCAACCTCCTGAGATTCACAGCTCCATGCTTTTATTTCCCCCCAGAAGGAAGCCAGGATGGTGGATGTGGGAGTGGAAGGTTCTTTAGCACCTGGGCACTCATTTACCAAACAACCACTGACCCTCACAAGTGATTTATATTCCCAACACATTTATGGGATTATCACAAATAAATGAACTCAAAGGAAAAGCAGGCAAGGATTAAGTGGTGAGGATATTCTGGTAAAGATAAAATTAGGTTAATTACAATCAAGTATCTGAATTTTTGAAATCTGTGTGTAAAACAGGAGCAAAACAGAGAGAAAAAAATCCATTTTGCCATACCATGTATAAACCAGTGGAGTGCAAGAAAGAACACTCAGCTAAAAAGTAGATTTCAGCCTATTAAAGGTAGATTAATATTTTACATTTTGAGTGAAAAAATAAGCCACTCAGCTTTAGTTTCATTTGTTTAACAAGCAAATGGCTTTTTCCTGATTAAAAGAGGGATGAATGAAAACTACAGTTATTTAGTGCTTGAGATTTTTCTGATTGGCAGTCAGAATTTTTAGTCCTAAAGAGAAGGGTTTGGCCTTCCAGGTTTTAAGTCCTTCTTGATTTTAACTGGAATAGAACATTAATTGATGGAAGTTGTTGTTCTGCACACCTGGGCATCCTTTTTATGGGAAATAATCCTCCCTCCAGAGAAAGATGGACTTTGAGATTTCATTGCAAAATGGTTGTAAAGCTCTCAAAATCCTGACCCAGAAGGTACTAAAGGAAACCACCACTAGATATCACCATTTGACTATTTAATAAATCTCAGAAAAAAATTGTTAATGTACAAAAACCCTAATTATCCTCCAGGTAGATGAAGTCACCTTCTAGAGGTGCTTAATTCCCACAGCTGAGGCAGGCTGGGGAACATCCTGACTACAGGATTAATTGGGGAAATTTAACCAAAGAGTTCAGCTTCCTACAGGGTCTGGTTCCCAGGACCTGGTGAATATTCCTCTGTGGGAACACGGACTGAGAGCTGGATATGAAGGTAAAAATTCCCTGCCTGCATTTCTCCTCTAACATCAGATTTTCTGGCATGTGGAAAAAAATTAACTCCAGGCAGAATCTGGCCGTGGATGTCTGCCCTGTAAAATATGGCACTGCTTTTCTTTGTAATGAAATCCAGCTGCTGCCCTTCAGCAGGCTGGAAAAGCACCTTTCCAGGGATTTTCCCCATGGAATTTGAGTTCACTGAGGCATTTTTCCTCCTATGAAAACGGGCACAGCTCCAGTGCAGCTGATGGAGTTTTACTCAAACTCATAACGGGACTTAGCATCTTCCAAATATAAATAAATCCAAAGCAGGTCATGGATTGCAACATATCAATTAAAATAAAATTGAATTAAAATAGTATTTAAGTTAGTAATAAATGTCTCATCTTTTTAGAAATTAACAGATTTTTCCCCCTAAAATGTGTTCTGCAGCAACATCTTTCTTCCTACAGAGAGAAATTAATTTTGAGAAGTTACTTAAGTTGTGGATTAAACCAGTTTAACAAATGCTGGGGGAGAAACCACATGGACAATATTTTTCTATGGGCAAAACTACATAAAATCCATAACAAAATACAATGTGCTTTACATTAACAATGTGCATTTACCTTCACCTCCATTTGTGCTGTGAAAACATGCCATTGGGGTGGCCCAAATTACCTATTTTCCTCAAAAACACTGCTGTTAGGGGGGTTTATTTTCATTCCAGCTAAAATTGTCCACATATTTAACAAAATTAATTTTAAAATGAGCTCTGAAACCAGTCCTGAGAAGGGAAGGGATGAACACATCTTCCCAATAACATCAGGTTTTGCCAAACTCTCATTATTTATGTGTTTTCTCTTCTGCCACTCCATTTCTGTCCCGGGGATGGAGCAGCAGATCCATCAGGGATTCTCCCACTGCAGCAGCTGCTGCTGATCCATTGACTTTAATCCCTGGGGGGCTGAGGTGAGCAGCAGAGCAGAGAGGGGCTCCTCCAACGCACTCCTGAGCGCTGGGAAGAACAGAAAACCACCAGAGTCTGGAGCTCAGGTTTAACCTCCGACTTCCTCATTTCCTGAGGAAGAACCTCGTGCAATTAACTTCTTTCCAGACTTTGGCTTGAACTATAAATAGATCCCAGGGGGAAGCAAGGGCTGGGGCACGGCAGCACAAATGGCACAGAGCACTTCTTGCTACGGATAATTGCAAACCCTTCGGCTACTGCTGCCCTCTAGAATATTTCCCCTCTCACCCTTGGTTAAATTGCACCTCCACCAAGGAAATCTGGGGAGCTCTGCCCACCCTGGACTCATCTGGAATTTAATGAAGTTATTTGGCGTCTTCCAAAGGATTCCTGGCTTGATTTTGGATGTGGAGAAGGAGATTAATGAGACGCACATGGAATTAGGGCAATGCATAGGGAAGCAAATTGTTTTCCTCTCATGCACCTAGAAAGCAAGGATGAGATTCAGTATTGCTTGTATTCCTTGCACCAAGGTCAGTGGGAATTTTGGATCAGGCAATATCCAGTTAGGTCTTGGATGTGTATGAGTGTGATTTTATAAATTTATTTCCTTATCAGGAATTATCTTTCCCCGTCATTTTAATCAGGAGAGAGAAGCCCTTGCCCACTCAGATCACTTTTCCCTCAGGAGCAGCTTCTTCTCAATCCTGCTGATATTTTCTTTGAGTTCAGAGATGATTTTAAGAAATGCCCAAGAAATAAAGATTAAAACAAACAAACAAAAAAACCCAACCAAAAGCAAAAACACCCAATGAAAAACTTTATTAGAAAAGAATTTCTGCAGAGCAGGTAACACTCCAATTCATCTCTCATTTTACAGCAGGGACATAATGAATAATTTCCAGCTGAAATATTTGCTGAGAAGCAAGAGCAAGGGGAGAAAATGTATTTGAGAGCTAAACAACAGTATTTCCATTCAAAAATCTGTGTTTAAATTTCCAAGTGAAGATGCAGGAATCTTGCATTATTTTTTCAGGAATGCTGCAGTCATCTCTGCTGATTTTGCAGAAAATTAATGCTTCTATGTGTGGATGTGGCACTTGAGGATATGATTTACTGGTGCTGGGCTGATGGTTGGACTTGATCTTAGTGGTCATCTCCTGCTTTAACAGTTCTTTGATTCTATATATATTATAAAAACATGATTGACCAGTTTTTGGAGAAAAATTAACTTCAAATTCTCCATTAGAAAACAGAAAACAGTGACCTTTACTTCCCCTGCTACCAAAGGGGTTTAAGAGTTAAGATATTAATTAGAACAAGTGTAGTGTGCAAATGTTTCCATTTCCCAACCCAATCCTTAGAGCAAAACATTCATATCCAAATCTCATCCCTCTCCTGAGCTGAGCAGCTCCGTCAGGATGTGAATGCCATCCTGCAGCTCCGTTTTGCACCCACTGGGTTGGAGATTTGGAGGTTTGGGGTGCTGAACTCGGAGCTGTTCCTGTTGGGAGCGTTGTGGGAGCTGAACAAAGCCAACGAATGCAAGAGGGCTCCTCTGGCTTTGGAGGTTTCTATGTTCTGCTCCTGGGAGATCTGAACACTTATCTGGTCCAGGCTGTTCCTTATCCAGCTGCAGGTGAGGAGGTTTGTTATGGAACCACACCTGGCCAGGCTTTCTTCAAAAAACTGTTTGTAGAGCTCTGCCACTTTGGCTTCCATGTACTTGTTGAGCATGGAGTTGGAAAGGGGCTCCTCACTGAGCATGAGGCTCCTTTCTCCAGCTTCCTCTCCAGGCAGGGACATCCCACTGGGATTTTCAGGATGCTCACACAGAGGTGACTGGCCCTGGGGAATATCTATGGAGAGTAGGACGGGGCCATCGGGGAGTTCATCACACACATGGTCCAAGACACAGCCCGAGTCACACGTGTGGCCCCCCACGTGGTCCCCCCCGATCTGCAGGTCAGGATAGTTCTGGTAAATGCTGTTGCAAGGCCTGGATCTGTACAAATCCACCTGGTCTAGGCTTCCTCCTCTCTTGGGGATATGTAAAGCCGGGGATGCAGTTCCTTTAACCAGCATTTCCTGATCTTTTGCAGGCTCCTTTTCCATGGATCTCCATCGGGAGCTGCTCCCGGCTTCCACTTGGCTGCTTCTGGCAGAGAGCTCCTCCTGCTTCTCACATCCATCAGCAAAGCCTTTAATTTTTGGGATGTCTACAAGTTTCTGTCTCCAGATTCCCTCTTTAGCCTTTTGGGATGCAGGAGATTTGCAAGGCTTATCTTGATGACAGCTTTCTTTATAGATGAGCCTCGTTAGGATGCCTTCTGCCAGCATGGTGACAAGTGTGAGCAACAGGGATCACCAGAGTTCCGTGGAGCCCTGGGATGGAAAGACAGGCACAATTAACAACAACTATTATTCAACAACTATTATAGAATAATTATATTATTGTTGTTGTTATTATTAATAATGAACAGTGCACTTCTCATAAAGTCAGTGATTTTTCTTTCTCTCTCAAGAACTTATTTTTAGCAAAAATTAAACTGCATGCTTTTCCTTTTTACCATGTCCATGAAAATCATTCTGAAGATACAGGAATAGCTGTATTTAATCAGCTGCTTCATCTGTACCATCCCTTCTGCTCCCAGGTCTCTTCTGCATCGTGGTTACTTGAGACAGATTGTACTTCATAAGCTGCAAAAATCAGAAAAATCATTTTACTTGTCTGTATCAATACCATCAGTAATTAATCAATGTTTTTCATTACAAGACAACCATTTCCAAGAACTAAAGAGGTGACATAGAAAGGAAATAAAAGACTATATTCATATTTAGAGGTATTTCTGACTTGAGCACTCCTGTGAGGTGCCAAGAAGCTTCAAATGAAACTGAGAGTTCTGCAAATACAATGAAACTGTATTCAAAATGCAGATCAAATGTGTTTACAGTCCCTCTTAAAGATGAACTTAAAAGATATAAATACTTAATTTGCCTTCCCCAATAGTGATAACAGTGAAGAGATAAGTGTATCAAAGTAAGTTTATACACTTAAGAATTCCTTATCATCCCTTTCCAATTTACCTACTGTTAAAATCAATGGGAATCTTCACATTAAGAGTCTGACCTGAACCATTGCTCTTATGGAGGAGTGTGAAACATGAAGAAAATCATTCAATTCTTCAAATATCCTTTAAATCTCTGCATAAATGAAGTATCCATACAACCAAAGTGTGCTTGTGGCTCAACACTTTTCACCATGCCCCTATACCCTGGTATATTTGAAACTTCCTACACTGGGTCACTTTGCAATCCCAGTGCTCCTTCCAGGATATATTCCAAATCTTCAGTTATTTGAGAGATGGAAGTTTTGACCTTTCCCCCAAAATTTACACACTGGCACAGCACAGCTGTTTGGTTTTTTTTTATTTTTGTGGGGTTCTTTATGTTTGTGACTCAGTTCCCTCCCCGAAGCTGAAAGGAACACTGGAATTTCGAGGCCAAACCAGGTAGGAAAGGCAGCAAACTGGTTATCTACAGAGTCATTTACATATGCAAAAAAGCAGGGAAACACTTTCTTAAGCACTCAAGGGACTTGATATATCAATTTCCAAAGAAAGAAGAATTGGCAGTCTAAATCTTGCTAAAGATCCATGGAATTTAGAATGCTCTGTGCCTGGTAGGACATGGGTAACCAGATCCTTACTCTGCTCTGTAGGACCTCATGGTACCCAGCTCCTTACCTGCTGAAAAATTATGGTTTATTGCTTTGAAAGTGCTCATGAAGAGCTAAAATATGGTAATCTTGGAAAAAGTGGTCTCCTCCAAACAAAATAAGTGGTTCTTGTGTTCTGGAACAAAGCATAAGGAAAACAAAAAGGCACAAAAAGCCCAACTTACCAAACCCAGTCAGGTCCGAGGCAGATTTGCCCAAGCCCAGAGCTCTCCTGCTATAGCAGCTGGGAGGGGGCAGATGGTTCCACACCCTTTCCTCACTGCTGCCTGTGCAGAAAAAACCTGACGCACTCATGATGCAGTTCCCCAGGGTTTTTAACTCATAAAACAGAAGTGATCCTGCTGAGAGAGGGCGCGGTTTTTGAACACAAAGAGAGGGCTACGTCTAAAAGAGGATGTTTGAAAATGAATTGAGATGTTTCTGACCACAGTGTGATGCTGAGGAGCTGCTGACAGCCAGAACAGGGCACGGGGAAGGAGCACAGGGTCAGACTGCGCTGGGCAGAGTGAAATCGGAACCGAATTCCACCAACACTTCCACTGGCAGGAGCTCGGTGCTGTTCAGCTGACTTGTGGAGTTACACCACTTCCCCTTTGGAAACAGGCAGCTAAATTTAGAGTCCTGTGATGGGCCACTGATGGGAAAGAAGTTGGCAACTTCCTTCCCCCCGGATTTCGATGAAATGCCCTGTGTCTATGACACACGAACAGGACAATGTGCCAATTTGAAAGCGGCAGCCAGCGGACAGCTCGTGTTGCTCATTGATCAAACTTGTCTTTAAGGGTTCAAAAATTACCTCTGGCACATCCCAGGTGCCCCATGGTGGTTTTAGGTGTCCTCTTCAAGCTGAAGCCAAGCTCATGCACAGAGCCACCCTCCCCTCAGCACAGAATCCAGCCCACAGACAGTCTGAAGAGTTTTCTGTTGACGCCTTTTCTGAATTTCCTTTTTCTCAGAAGATAAAAAAAACCCAATTCAGCAGAAGCTGAATCTCATCTAAGTACAAGACAAAAGATTCTAAAAATACAGTGTTTAATACAGGGGCAAGACACAAATTTACATCCAGTGCCACCCCCTGCCCTGGGCAGGGACACCTTCCAGGGTCCCAGGTTGCTCCAAGCCCCATCCAGCCTGGCCTTGGACACTTCCAGGGATCCAGGGGTAGCCACAGCTTCTCTGGGCAACATGTGCCAGGACCTCCCCATCTCACAGGGAAGAATTTCTTCCTCATATCCCATCTAACCCTGTCCCCTGTCAGTGGGAAATCCTGTTGTGTCTTAGAAATTAGGTTTGGAGTAAGTCTGGCCATATCGGTTCAATGATGTCTGTAAAATAACCTCCCTTCCCTCCTTTTCTCCTGTATTTCATTAAAAACTTCAGTTTTTATGAAGGCAAAATGAAAGCTATTTTTACTCCCACCAGATTTTTGTAAAACTCATTTAATATTTAAAGGCTGTTAAAATTACCTGATTTTTAATCACCTTATATGAGCAATTTCTGCACAGAAGGTGTGGCTGGGACTCCAGCAGTCACTGCCCACAGTCTTGGCAGGCAGGAACCAGAGCAGATCAAATTCCAAGTAGTTTTAAACCCTGCCAAGCTTGCAATTAGTGCCAGCTGCAGCTGGAATTTTTGTGCAGCTGTTTCAACAAAACACAAAAGTAACAGAGAGAGAGGAAGAAATCAAGTCAGGTAATTTGTATGGAGTGATTAAAAGCAAATCAACTTCCATTTCATACCCGGCAACCTGATCTATGAAAGATGTCCCTGCCCATGGTGGGGGTGGAATGAGATGAGCTTTAACATCCTTTCCAACTCAAACCCAAAGTCTGGGATTCGGGTATTAAATGCATCAATATCCAAGGAAATCAATGTATTCCCCCAATAAGATGTTACCAAGAAGAAATTCGCTTTTATTTACAAAAATAAAGTCAGAACGAGATAGAACGAAAGTTAGTTCAGAAGCCGAGCACAGATTGCAGTTAGGATAAACAGCAAAAGAAGGATGACAGAATTTAGAGCTGAATATATACTGGAAAAGAATAAAAATCACTCTTATGATTCGTATATGTAAAAAATAAATACTAGCACAGTATATGATATTATATGAACTATGGCTGCATTTAAACAAAGTCCCTTCTTTCCGCACAGCCTGTGTACTTCGCATGCATATAAAAATGACGTAGATATTGACTTGTTTGAAAGATTTTATGCTGGGAATTTTTTCCTAAGCACAGCTGTTGCGGGTCCTTTATTTTTGATTCCAAAGGGAACATAAAGTGAATAAATCGAACATCTCCCCTCAGCCGAGGAGTCATACGCCACACCCTCAGCCGGCGCGGCTTAAGTAGAGGAAAGGCGGAGTTTAGCTGTGATTGACAGCTCTATGGTCCAATAGAAAGGCGGGATATGCCCACCCCGGCCGTTGAGTGGCCGCTGGTTGCCGCAGCAACGGCGCGCGGCGGCGGCGCTGCGGGGCCCGGGCGCCATTGCGGCCCCTCACAGCGGGCGGGCCGGATTTGGGCATAAAATGGTTATAATCCTGGTTATAAAATGTGTGTGCGATCCGCTTCGCTTCGTGTAAACACAAAATAACCTCCTGTGCGTGCTGCGGAAGGGTTCAGGAAAGAACTGAGGCCCCATGGAAATTACAGTGCTGCTGACATCGGATTAATGATGTGTTGGTTTCTTTTTATTAAGGATTTTGAAATACTGAGCAAATTAAAGTGAAGAAATGGTCAAGTTCCCGATGATCTTAAATAAACCAACGTGTGAGAGAAGGAATTACTATAAGGAATTATTAGAGTTACATATTGCTATACTGTGTATGTATATAAATATTTATAAATATATATACATAATAAATTACTGTATATTCATGTTACAAGATATACAGGGCCAAGTCTAATATTTCATGACTACAATGCATATATTTTGTGTAAATTCCTTTTGCATTTCCACAAGTTTATCAATACATTTTAATAATACACTTCAAAACTGTCATAATGAACCTTTCAATCTAAAACATTCTGCCAAGATCACAAAATATGGGTAAATAGAGAATATTTCTGCAGGGAACTCAATCAAAGGTAACGATTTAGGAATAATTTATTTGTGCCACGGGATTAGAATCTGAGCAATCTGGTGTAGGGAAAGTTGTCACACATTGCATGCACGCGTGTAGCTTAATTTTTTGAAGATTTTGGGAAACTATTTTCATTTAGCTTTACATTAATGAGTAACAACTGGGTTTTTAAGACTTTTTTAATAAAAAAAACCAAGGAAAGCATCAATTTTTCTGAGTTGCACAAGTGGAGTGGATACACAGGGGAAGTAAATGGGATTCATTACATGAAATGGCATTCATGCCCCTTTTCCTATCTCATGGAGCAGTTTTAAGACTCTCCAGGACAAGTGTGAGGGACAAGCAATAATCCTCTTGCAAAGGCATCCTGTGCCTGATGGTGCTTGGATGTGATTTAGCTGCTCACACAGAAGCTGATGCTGTAAAAACTACTAACCACTCTTAAAAAAATCATGTTATTGGTTTCCTCCAGAGGATGTGAAGTCTGGAATTTGTGCAGGTTAGAAGCAGAGAATGTCATTTCTGTAACTCGACAGATCTTCCAGGTGGTGCAGAACGTCAGCGCGTGAAGCAGGAAGGAGGTGCCTGCTGATTTGCCAGGCAAACAGGGAAGGTGTAAGCGAAGTTTTTTTAGTTTAAAATTTATCCTGCACTGCCCTGTGGCAACACAAATATAAAATAGCATGGCTCCCTGCTGTGAGCAGCATAAAGCCAATTAATTACAGTTTGTAAACGAGCAGGGGAGGGAGGGTGAGCTCTGAGTGTGGGAGCAGCTGCTATGTCCCAGCCACTTCCGACCTGTCCCTGCCCTGGGGAATGTGTGGGAAAGCGGGATAATGAGGGAAATAACCCAAACCTTGACACACTATTTTGGGTAGGTGTATCCTAAATTAAATCCCATTTAGTAATTAAATCCCATTAGCTGCAACAGGTGAGAGATCCAACTCAGCAGACTTCACCCGCAGCAGCAGATCCCTGATGTTCGCCTTCTATAAATCCTGAACTTTTAAAAAAAGCAGTATTTTTATCTGAAAATTTCATTTATTTCAGCTTCAAACTTGAAACTGTAAACAAAACATGCAAACAAGTCATGGTGTGAGAAAGTGTTCTAAAACAACTTTATTGGAATGATACAGGAATGGTTAATATACAGGTTAAATCCTCAATGCCTGCTTTCTACATAGGAAAAAAATAAGAAAAGAACAAATTCAGTTCTTGCACCCATGGAAACAGAAAACCAGCACAGAGGTAACAGATTCCTGGCACTCCTAAAGTCATGCAAGAGATCTGCATCAGAAAACTCAAGTTTTACACACACAGCAAAGAGATTTTCGGTATTTTCAGTTTGTGTCGGTGCCTTGTTCCCCGGACAAAGGAATAATTCAGCCTGGCTCACCAGAGCTGCCTGAGGAATGCTGATACAGTTTGAATGCTCCCATATGGCAAGGGGGGGACAGACGAGGGCAGTGACTTTGCTTTCTTAAACTTGGCAATTTTCTTGACCGTTGAGACAGGGATTGACCTCGTTTCAGAATGTTTTGGGTCGCTGAACCGACAGAATTTGGCAGAGACTTTTAATTACAGCTTCCCCAAAATAATGGCTGTAATTCACCAAACTTGCAGAGAAAGCACAGCAAACTGGTGTGGGTACAGAGACCTGTGTGTCAAATCCCACTTTCCTCACCACACTTCACTTAGTATTCCACAGCTCCCAAAAACTTGAGCAGGAATTTAGACACAGAGAAAGATTTGGCCAATATTAAGAAAGAAAAACAACTTCATTCAGAAAGATGAAATCATAGTGAACAACAAAAATCTGATGCTGGATTTAAAATATAACCAAACTTCCATCCCCCAAAGATCTTAAATTTCACAGAATTGCAGTGATTCCTGACAAAAGCTGCTATTAAAAGAGCACAGTTGTGTGTGTGTTCATCTTTAAGGTCAGGTAGCATCCATCCATCCCTCTGCCTCATGATGCTGTGCTGCTTTTGTAAGCACAAGCTTCCAACAGCTTCCCAGGCTCCCAAAATGATAAATCAAGAATTAAAATATGGCCAGGAATTACAGGCTCCCTCTTGAGCACTGGGAGAACACACAGGTTAATATTGCACATGGTAAATTCACCCACATAAGACACTGAGAGATTTGCAATTCCTGTAATAGCTTTATGATATGGCAATAAGAATGGAAATGTAGTTTTTAAACCTTTTAAAAAAAAAAAAAAGAAATCTTACTTAATTACAGTAACTTTTGTTATTCAAACATTTGTTTCCTCACTTGAAAAAATACTATATTAACCTAATGGCTACTTGAACATGCAGTGAGATGTTTAATGCTCTAAGCAGTGTGAACTGGTATTTTTGTAGAGAAATACATTAAAGGCTTTCACCCTTACACAGGTAAGGAAAGGCCATTTCTGGCTGTTTTGGCTTGTTTGCAACATTGAATCTTGCCCCAGATGTGTCATCCCTCATGCTTAGGCAGCTGTGAGGGACCTGTGTCCTTTTTGTCCAAAGAGCCCACAAAGATCACTTAAATGGGAAATACATGGGGTTTGTTGGGGGTTTTATCACCTGTACAGTGTGTAACAATACAAACCTTAAATATCCATTCTACAGAAGACAAACACAACTTTCCAAAGAGACTACAATGGTTAAACTACACGGTACCACCTACAAATTCATCTGAAACCAGGAAAGACACTGAATATTTACTGTGTAACTCAGTAACATTTTTGAGGCAACTCAGGCACTAAATTAGTATCTGACGAGGTTTTAGATGCTGTTTTCCATAGTTTAAATAGTTGGATCTCTAGGTAAAACCCATCTGCATTTTTAGTACTAAAATAGTTTCTTTAAGTTTACACAAAATGGACGAATTGCCAGGACAGTTTAAACTAAATGTAACTCATTCATGTCTGATTGCTTGGGCTCCCATCAGAGCCCACTCCTGCTCCCTACCCTGAAATTCCCATTCCCATCCTTTAATCAATTTTTGTTATGGACAGTGAATGCTGCAAGCACCAATCAAATGTTAGAAATCACATCTACATTTCTTGAAGCAGAGACAGTTTGGACTATTTTATAAAAAGCTGTGGAAATTCCCTTTACAGACATTTAAGGCAGTTGAAATTCATGCTTGCTGCTTGGCCAGTGCTTCAGCTTCCTGAAACAGCAAAAGAGAATCACATGTTAGTAGTTTCTCAGTATGTTTCCAAAGGAACACTATAAAACAATAACCTGCATTTTTCAGTTTTCTTTCAGCCTTTGTAAGGTGATCACAAATGGGAACAGAATGACAACAGAAGAAATGCAAAAGGAATTTCCTTCTGGTTTCTCTGAGTGTACTTTTGACTGCAGATTAAATTAATTACCTGCTAGCAGCACCATGACCTACAAGGAGATGAACGAGAGATGAATTCCCAGTGCCCTCAGTGCAGTACCTCCACAAGGGCAGCCTGGTTTATTTGAAAGGACAAAGTTCAACATCTGCCAAGATGTGTTGGAGCCATTTACTTTTGTGACTGCATAGAAATACTCAAGATAATAGATTCACTATCGTTGTTACCATGAGCCAGCTTGCTAAACAAACAAAACACATGAGGAGAAAGGACGAAGAGGGCAATTTCCAAGACGTCTGTACGATTTTTTTAGGAGACAGTGGGTGACCCCAGCCTGCAGGGCAGGAAGTCCCACGCGTATCTCCCGTATCTTGGACGTGGTGGCTCACTCTGGTTTTCCTGGCTAACTGCCCTCATCCTGCCTTTGAACTCAGGGCGTGGGAAGAGCCTGGCTTGGAGCTGCGTGCTCCTGGCCCGTGCTCTGCTCTGCTGGCCTGTCACAGGTCAGAGAGCGGGGCAGGATGTCACCAGGGCTCGGATGTCACCGTGCACCCACAGCCTCGCGTGAGGACATCCCGGCCACCTGCGGCACAAAAGGCAGGTGAGCAGTGAAAGGAAGATCAAAAAGAGCTACAAAGCCTGGAAAAAAGCAGCATGTTTGATATTCTCTAAAAGACAAGTGGTTCTTTGAATGGTAAGAACGAGGAGAAGGTTCCCTTGGCTTTGTAACAACTCCTTTATCAAGCCCAGGGCACTGCAATGGTGACAATTCACTGCTTTTTGGGGTTTTTTTCCAAGACAGAGTACTTCTCTTCAGAACAGGCAGTGAAAAGCTGGAGAGGATGCCTTTATTTCTCCCTCAAGGCTCCTCACTGAGCATCCTCTCAGTCCTTAAATCCTTCATAAAGAAATAATTAAACATAGTTTTTAACTCACAAAAACCTTCAAAATCCACACATATTGCTTGAAGTAGAGATATGTAAGATAAACTAAAGGCCAGTCTTTTCCAGAGCTTGTCCAGAGTTTGTCCAAAGGACAAACCTAACCACCAGGGCTCAGGAAGTAATTGCTTGAATTTACCATGGTCACTTCTGAGCCAGTCCTGTTTAGCATTAATATCAAACCTTTGTGTTCAGAGTCAAGTAACTTCCCAAATCTCTCTTGATGGCATTGAATAGAGGTTTCCTGCCAAGGTTGCTCCCTGCCATTTTCTGCAGTTGCCGTGTCATTCCCTACAGCATTATATCCAAGTTTCACACAGCTATGCTGGAAACATCAATTTCAGCACCTACAAATCTGACTGCCCTCCTCAGCAGCTCACAACCAACTTGACTGGACATTCTAATTGTCAG